GAGACTGAAAATCCATGAATGATATTGTTGTATTTATTTTGTGTGTCAAAATAAATGGATGTTTGGAATTTTTTTTTATTTATATTTATATAAATGATGAATTTCAGAGAATATGAGAATTGTTGTTCATTTTGGAAATTATTGTTCAAAACGTTGAAATAGTCTTGAAATGACTAATTCTTAAGGATACTTGAGAAGAGGGAATTGTGTTATTCATTGGATGATGAATTAGAATAAAAGTATTTATATTCATCTTGTGTTATTGGCATAGCAATTCATTTGATTACATTAAACTTTGAAAGTTGATTTGAAAACTTGCATTGAGAAAAGAATGTTGAAAAACAAGTTTTCATGAAATAGTTTTAGGGTAAATACGTTGGTAAGTCTTGATAGGTGATGTAGATGATATTGAATAAGTTGGCCTATGAGTCCGAAGTGAAAGACCGAAAACCTGCATGGATAGGTGTCGAGCCTTCCGGTTAATACTGGTAAAAATGACAATTTGGTAGTACTTGTATAGTCTACTTGCAGACACCGACCTAGGGATTAGCAGAGTCATATTTACCGCCCTTGAAATAAATTGTTAAGTTTTGAACAATTGAAATTGCATGACATCGTTGAGCATGATGGTTTTCAAAAGATGAAAATGTGATTTATCTTCAAAAAGGGGCATAGCATAGCATGTGCATTTCATCTCTTGAGACTTGTATAAATTGTATATACTTTGTTAAGGATTTCCTACTGGGCTTTATGCTCACCCTACGGGATTTTTGTGCAGAAAAAGATGTGGTGATGCTGCCTAACTAAAGGCGAGGAAATGTGTGTTGAAAGTACGAGACTCTTATTTTGCTGTAACTCTGTGTGTAAGCCAAGGGTTATATGTGCGTGGGTTTGAATAACCGTTTTGTGTAACCAGGCTCAAGCCTTGGAAACTTGTAAACCTTTGGGGTTATTTATTTGTTATTTACTTGTTGTTGGATTAATGTATTGTTGCATGAAAAACTATTGTATCATGTAATCTAAGTTTAGAGATTTATATTTGGTTTTCCTTGAAAGAGCCATGATTGTTGTATTATCATTTGGGATAAAAATTTGTGGCGTTACAAAGTTTTTAGTAGCTGAAGGTGTATTTTCCTGTAATATGGGTAAACGTAGATTGATGTGGGGATAATGTAGTGAGATATGAATCTCCTTAATTTGACTAACCAAATAGCCTTTGATATAGCTGAATGGAGAAGAAAGATTCATGTAGCTGACCCCATATGATGGGACTTCAGACTTGTTTGATTTGGTTTGGATGAAATACATGAATTGCCTAACAAAATAAATGGTTCAAATTATTCAAACAGGATCCGTGATGAGTCTCACGAATCCAAACAGCTCCCTCCTTTGAACTGGAGGAGATCCTCTCCCTTGCTAAATAACTTACATTTCGCCATAAAATCCTTAACCATTGTACTAATATTCTAATCTAGTTCACTTTTACCATTGCTTGATGAATCTTGACGTGAGCTTTATTGTACAAATCTAAGATGCTGCAACATCCACCGCAAGCCAAGAACCATTTTTGAATCTGATGGATATGGGCTTCACATTTTTTTATATATTTATTTATTTTGGGTATTCTATACATAAAGTGAAGAAAATAGAAATAATTGCTCAAAAATTCACTTATGTGCATGTATAAGACATTAGATTTGAATCTTTATTTGTGTGAAAGACATAGTCACAATATTTTTTTATTATTGATTTGCATCTTTAATATTTTTTTTTTTAAAAAAAATTTAAATGTTATAACTTTAGCTCTACAACTATGTTTTAATAAAATCTATCACTTTATTGGTTTTGTTTTCATAATCTATTTTTCAAAAAAATATTAAAAAACTAGTTTGGTGAAAATAAATACCAAAAAGATATTTTTGAATTTTAAAACTGTTATTTATTTATTTATTAGTGAGTGTGTGTAAAAAAGAGAACAATATGCAAATGTTGGTGTGTTTGGTAACGTTTACGTTTTCAGTTTATATTTACAAAAATTTTATAAACTGGTTTTTGTTTATTTTTTGTTTATTTTTTGAAAAACATAAACTACAAACGCGCTTGGTAATTGACAAAATGTTTAAAAAAAATTTAAAATATAAAAAAGAGTGAGAAATGGCGAGTGGCGGCGGAAGACGGTGGTGAAAAGTGGTGACAATGGGTGGTGGGCAGCTGGTGGTGGTGGGTGGTGGCGGTGGGTGACGGTGGTGGTGGTGGTGGTGGTGGGCGGGCGGCGGAAGTGATGACGACGGTAATAGTGGTCGTGGCCGTAGTGATGGTGGTATGGTAATATTAATAAAATTTTAGTTCAACATATGTTTTACACCTTTTTAAAAGTGAATATTTCCTATTCAAATAAGTTTATTTTTTATTGATCATAGAAAATATTTTTTATTAATTTTTATTTTCTATTATATTAAATACTAAAAATACAAAAAATATAAAAAAAAAATTACCAAAGTAATCGATAACGATATACAAGTCAACCACACTGTCCCTCCCACCCCAGTTAGGCCGACTCACAATCGCATCTCAAAAAATTCAATTTTTATTGATTGTGTTTGGAAAGTTTGTTATTTAGTAGGTTATTTTAATTTGGCTATTTTAGTAGGATAAAATTTTTATGTTTAGGAAGATGATTACATTTTTTTGTAGTTGAATGTGATATTTATGAGAAAAAAAATGAAATGATTGTAGGTTTGATGTTACATTTTGTCTTATTGATTATTTTAATCTATTTTATCTTTTTATAAATTTTAACCAAAAAATAACCCAAACTCAACTTGCCAAACATATAACTACTAAAATCCCTTCTTTTTTGGAAAGTTTATTGATCGCACCCATCAAGTGATTGTGCGTTCATCTTATAATAGGAAGATATATAATTAATTTATCTAAAATTTAGAAGATAAAATAGAAAAAAACTAATTACATGGTCTAATATATTTGAAAAGATAGAGACCACATAATATATAAAATTTTATAATAAGAGGACGCATAATCAAAATTAATGAAATATACACGTTTGATCTATTTGGATTTTTTTTTTGTTTTTGTTTTTGTTTTTAATTTTGTGTTTGTTTATTTTTTTTAAATTTTTTATGGATAGGATACCAAAGTCCTTATCTTATCCCATGCGATGCCAAAAAGGCAATTTTCACTGATTTCATGAAGCAAAAAAATAAAAATGCACCTTAAAAAAAAAAAAAACGACATTAATCTAACAGAAAAAGTAGAGTTTCCATTCAGACAGACATCCGAACTCAAAGCATACATACATAACTTTCTAACTTTATACAAACATAGCCAAACAAACACCAAATGACCATGAAACCATGTCCACTTTATTTATAAGAAAAATACTTTAAAAAACCTTCATAATTTAAAGAAGCCTCATACCCACAAGCAGAGAGATGTTATACATATATAAATACATATTACATATGTATTTAGATTATTGTTGAGAGAGAACCATCTTCTCATCTCTGGCTTTGTAGAAGGCTAGTAGTGGTTAGGAAGTTGTCATTTGTTCATTTGCAAGTGCAAGGGTCACAGCTGCAGTTGGCTCCACATTTGCAACCATTCTCAGCTCCCACACCCATCTCAGATCCCTCAAAGTGTCTGCACATAAAATTAGAAATATGTATCAGATATCTATTTAACTTCCATTTAATTAAAAAAAAAAAAAAATTTGCAATGTTAATTTGCAAAAACAAGTGTTATTAATAAAATTAGATTGTAGAATATATGATTTTTTTTATTGGCTGGCACAAAAACCAATTATAGAATCGGACATGACCTTTTAACATGAGTGTAGAACTTAAAAAAACTCAGACCCACCTTATGTGAGAAATTGTGTAAGTCCCACAATTGGTTTTTGTGTTCTTAGATTTTTATATTGGATAAAAGAAAAATTAGAAAAATAATTATAATTTAATAAAGGACAAGTGAGATGTTCCTTTGGAACACAATTTTCACTTGCAATACAATGATTTACAATTCGTTTTCTTATTGTTTATTTATCTGGTGTTTAAGAGTTGGGTACATATCTACACACCAAAAAAATAAAAAATAATAAATAAAAATAAAAATAAGGTGTAAAAGATTTGGGTATAATGTTTTTTTCCAGATCAATGATGAAGATCGAAAAAAAAATTACAAATTCATGGAGATACAAACTCACTTGCACTCCATAAAATGCAATTACTTTTCCGTCTTTACAATT